TTTTGCCATTGCACTCCAGCCTGGGCGACAGAGTGAGATTCTATCTCAAAAAAATAAATAAATAAAATAAAGATTTCTAGCCTTCCTGTCCCTCCCTAGGGTTTTTGTGCTGGTGTTTAATCCTGTGATGTGGCCATCTTCTCCCCAGAGGGCCTGTGAGAGGCAGGCAGCAGCTTTAGCTCAGGTAGAACTCCTGTTGGGGAAGATCACATAGGATGGCGGTGGGGGCTGGGGCCCTGGGGACTCCTGCGCCATGTACTCAGTTGGAAGGACTGAGCAAATCCCCTCACCTCTCTGGGTCTCAGCGTCCCTGTGTGTGAAATGAAGGGCTCAGCTGGGATGAGCCCCAGTTTCCTTCTAGTGCCAGTGTGTGTTCAGGGCCTGCGCTCTCCTCCAGGGAGCATCAGGAGTGTTGGCTAGACAGTAGGAAAGAAGTGGGGGCTTGTCAGCAAGACAGCCAAGCCTCGAAGGAGCCTTGGTCCCTGCACCCAGTGCAGGCCTCCCCTCGCAGCCCCTCCGTTACGAAGGACAAGAGAGCCCACTCCTTGCTCTCTCCCTGACCCATCACCCCTCAGCCCCCCACAGATCTGAGGTCCAGAAGCCAACAATCGGGATGATAGCATGGTGGGCACCCTCGTGCCCGTCTTGCTCAATTAGGCTTTCCTTGGTGTGTGCACATGGCCCTTGTCAGGCCCCCAGTCTTCCTGGATTATGATCTCACTCAACCTAATGACTTCCTTTTTTTTTTAAAGACAGGGTTTCACCGTGTTGGTCAGGCTGGTTTTGAACTCCCGACCCCTCAGGTGAGGCCTCCAAAGTGTTTGGATTACAGGCGTGAGCCACGACGCCTGGCCCCTAATGACTTCCTAAAAGCCGTATCTCCAAGAACAGCCACACTGGGGGTTAGGACTTCAACAAATGAATTTGGAGGGCGTTTACGGTTCAGTCCACAGCACCTAATGATGTGGGGCTCCCAGCCTGTATTTGTGGAATGAAGTCTCTGCTTTTTTAAAGTTTATACACCACCTGGTCAGGTGCGGTGGCTCACGCCTGTAATCCCAGCACTTCGGGAGGCCGAGACGGGCGGATCACCTGAGGTCAGGAGTTCAAGACCAGCCTGGCCAACGTGGTGAAACCCCAACTCTACTAAAAATACAAAGATTAGCTGGGTGTGGTGGTGTGCACGTGTAGTCCCAGCTACTTGGGAGGCTAAAGCAGGAGAATTGCTTGAACCTGGGAGGTGGAGGTTGCAATGAGCCAAGATCGCACCACTGCACTCCAGCCTGGACGACAGAGCAAAACTCCATCTTAAAAAAAAAAAAAAAAGTGTACACACCAATAGACCTGAAGGCAGGAGAGTTTGTGATGGTTCCGAGTCCTGATTCTGGAGGAAACAGACCTGTTTTTGGGTCCCAGCTCTGCTCATTACTGGCTGTGTGGCCTCTGGGAGACAGCATCCCCCTCATCTGTGAAATAGGGTTGAACTTGTAGGTGGCTGAGAGGTTCAGGCGAGGGCTGGCATGTGAGGCCTTGGCACTGAGCGGGCACTCTTACGGAGTGCTCAGTCAGAGGCCGTAATAACCACTGCTCTGCAGCCCTAGCGTCTGATCTCAGCAATGTCCTTACTCTTCCTGTCAATCTTTCTGGCATCCTAAGACTCAGAAGGCAAGTGGGGGAATAGAACCATCTCCTGCCTCTGAAAGCTGTGGCCAGCCTCTGTCCACTAGCACGAGGGGATGCCCTCAGTGAAGACAGCAGGCGGCCCTTTCTTTCTGTTTTTTTTTTTTTTTTTTTGGAGATGAAGTCTTGCTTGGTCATCCAGGCTGGAGTTCGGTGGCACAATCTTGGCTTACTGTGACCTCCGCTCGCAGGTTCATGTGATTCTCCTGCCTCAGGCTTCTGAAGCTGGGACTACAGGTGCTCACCACCACACCTGGCTAATTTTTAGTAGAGACAGGGTTTCACCATGTTGCCCAGGCTGGTCTCAAACTCCTGAGCTCAAGCAATCCTCCCACCTCAGCCTCCCAAAGTGCTGGGATCACAGGCACGAGCCGCCGCACCCGCCTGCAGGCTGCCCTTTCACCTTGCGCCGGTCCCATCTCCATCCCTGAACATAATGCAACTTTTTTTTTTTTTTTTTTTTTTTTAAGACGGAGTCTTGCTCTGTCACCAGGCTGGCAACAGAGTGCAGTGGCGCATCTCTGCTCACTGCAACTTCTGCCTCCTGGGTTCAAGCGATTCTCCAGCCTCAGCCTGCCGAGGAGCTGGGACCACAAGCGCATGCCACCACGCCCAGCTAATTTTTGTATTTTTAGTAGAGACGGGGTTTCACCATGGCCAGGATGGTCTCGATCTCTTGACCTCGTGATCTGCCCGCCTCTGCCTCTCAAAGTGCTGGGATTACCGGCGTAAGCCACCGCGCCTGGCTTTGCAACTTTTTTTTAAGAGACAGAGTCACGCTATGTTGTCTAGATTAGATTCAAACTCCAGGGCTCCAGCTTTTCCAAGTAGCTTGAGCCTCTCAAGTAACTGTGACAGTACGTGCACACAACTGGACCTGACCGTGTTTTAAATGCTTCATTCTTTCTGGTATCAAGGAGAAGAAGAAAAACTTTTTTTTTTTTAATTAAAAAAATGATAATAAAACTTTTTTTTTTTTTTTTTTTTTGAGACGGAGTTTCACTCTTGTTGCCCAGGCTGGAGTGCAATGTCACAATCTCGGCTCACCGCAACCTCCACCTCCTGGGTTCAAGCAATTCTCCTGCCTCAGCCTCCCAAGTAGCTGGGACTACAGGCATGCACCACCACGCCCGGCTAATTTTTGTATTTTTAGTAGAGACGGGGTTTCACCTTGTTGACCAAGATGGTCTCAATCTCTTGACCTCGTGATCCACCCGCCTCGGCGTCCCAAAGTGCTGGGATTATAGGCGTGAGCCACTGTGCCCGGCCAAAAAAATAAAATTTTAGGCCAGGCCTGGTGGCTCATGCTGCTGTAATCCTAGCACTTTGGGAGGTCGAGGTGGGTAGATCACCTGCAGGAGTTCGAGACCAGCCTGACCAACATGGTGAAACCCCGTCTCTACTAAAAATACAAAATCATTAGTACAGGCATGGTGGCAGGTGCCTGTAGTCCCAGCTCAGGGGGCTGAGGCAGGAGAATCACTGAACCCAGGTGGTGGAGGTTTCATTGAGCTGAGATGGTGCCATCACACTCCAGCCTGGGTGACAAGAGTGAGACTCCGTCTCAAAACAAACAAAAAAATTTTAGTTTGAAATAATTTCAAAATTACAGCAGTTTCAAGAGTACGACAAAGAACATTTGCCACATTTTTTTCTTTCATTTGCTCCCTCCTCTCCTCCCTCACCCCTTTCCCTTCCAGTCCTCTCTGAACGTGAACAACCATGAAGGGTGATTTGCATACGTCATTGCGCGTTTACCCATAAGTTGTTCGCGGACATTTCCTAAGAGCAGGGGTGTCCTCTCAGTGTCCATAGTACAGATCTCAAATTCAGGAAATGTGCTTAAATCCTTCTCCCGTGATGAAACTAAAATTTAAAAAGGAAATGTGCAGTATTCTCCCATCAGTCCAAACGTTGTGAGTTTGTAGTTCATGTTTCAAATCTGCCAACTGTCCCTATAACGAGTTTGAAATCCATTGTTCTGGTCCAGGATCCCGCCAGGACCAGGCCCCGTCTCAAGTTCCCTGCAGCCTCCTCTGATTTGGAGCGGGTCCTCAGCCCGGCTTTGTCTTTCATGACATTGATGTTTGGAAGAGTACAGTCCAGTTTCTGTTGTAGAATGTTCCTCAGGTTGGTCCGGGAGCATTTGTGTCCAGCGAATTGGGAAACGACACTCACCTCTTTTGGTGATGTGTGTATTTGCCAAACCCCCAGCCTTGTACTAGGTGTGTTACTCAGCCAACCCGGCCCCTGACCTTGGCAATGTAGTTTGGGTTTGTGGGGAAAGCAGGCACCGCCAGGCGGGCGTTACGGACCCCTCTGTGTCTCATGACCAGAGGCACTGATGCTTAGATAAATACAGGGATGGATGCAGGGTTAGTCAGCATTCTAGAAGTCTGCAAAGGTACAGAAATGGCTCTGCTCCCTCTCCAGCATTTGGCCATCAGCTTTGCCTGGCTTCCCAAGGCACCGTGAAATTCACACTCCAGTCTTCTCCAGGAAATCTTGAGGGAGCTGAGGTCTGGCTTCTAGCCCTGCCCTTCCAGGGATCTGCTCTGTGGCTGGGAGGGGAGGCCCCTTTGGCTCTCCCAAGTGCCCTTGGAACGAAGAATGCATTGAAGGGAGGAGGAGAGTCACAGAGCTCTGAGGGGCGCGGGGAGACAGGCCTGGGCCACAGGCTCCGATCCCGCCTGGGACGAGGTTAAACAGAACTAGGATGGTTTCATCAAGACCTGGCAGAAAAACCATCGGACCCAGATTTTTGCTTTTTCAGTGGTTTGACTTCTGTTGCATACAGGATGAAAAATGGTCAACTGTAATCTTAAATAACCGAGCAGGATCTAGTAGCCATGAGCACTTTGTAAACCAAAGCAGATAGGCGAAAGTGTTTGGAGTGCCGTCGGATGGCCACAAAACCTTAGCCAACAAGCTTTCAGTGAGACACAAAACCACGTGGGTTTCTATCTAGCAATGAAGTCAGCGCCACTGTCCGTTCTGTGTTAACACACTAACATTTCAGAGTTCCCTCCCTGGGGCTGCAGATCCTTGTGAGAGACACTCGAATGCCCTGTCTTTTTAATTTAATTTAAATTAAATAAAACGTAAAATTCAGCTGTCAGTTGTTCTGGTGACATTTGGAGGGTTTTGTACCATACGTGGATCGTGGGCACCGTCCTGGACCATGTCTGTGGAGAACAGTGCCATCCCTGCGGGGAGCTGTGTTTCACAGCGCCGCACTGCACGCCTGGCGGCCTGAGGAGCAGGAGATTTCCTTCCACGCACGGTACAGATCTCACAGACCCTGAAGTCAGCTCGTAAATATGCTGCAAACTGTCAACAGCATGTTCTCCGGAATGCCGGGATGGATCAGAGGTATGCTAGCAGATTTACAGAATTTGACTTCTTCTGTTATCCTGGTGACTCAGAGCCCTGTTAAATCAGTTTCAGCATCAGGCTGTGGTCCTGGTTTTAAAGAGAATAAATGCAGCGAAGTTGAATCGCAGTGATTTCACTCAGTGCCCTGGGTCTCCCCTCACCTGGCCCTCCGAAACCCCAGGGCCTCGAGCGCATGGACTCCTACCGGAGCCCAGTTTTGGCTGGGTGGGAGGCACTTCCTATGGGAGGGGGACCCCTATCTCAATGCTGAGGCAGCCATTCCCGAGGACACTGGGCTGAGCTGTCTGGTGGCAGGTTCTGAGGCAGGCCAGGTGACGGACTAGGCTGGAGGATACAGACGGCAGGCTGGATTCATATTGCCCCCACACCTCCCGCATCTGCTGAGGACACCCAGAATTGTGGCCCTGGGCCAAACCTCAGCTCCCCATCCCGTGAAAGTGTGGGTCGCAGCGTGGGTGATGGAGTGGGGCTGTCAGTGCCCCCTAAGCTTCTGCTGTGGGTCCAGCCCACAACTGAGGAAGTCACACACAGCTGTGCCGGCGTGTCTCTGTCTGATTGAGAGTGCCTGTCTGCTGTGGGTCCTTGCTGTCCCCGCCTTCTGGCCTCCTGGCTGAGGGAAGCTGAGTGGGCCAAAGCCCCTGTGCAGCGTTCGCCTTGGCTCCCACACAGCTGCTGCTGCTCCGGCTGCGATGTGGCTCTTCCACACTCTGCTCTGCGTGGCCAGTAAGTCCTCTCACCCGCACCTCGGGGGGCTGCAGGGCACAGCTGTGACTGTCTCTCTGTCTGATGGGGCTCCGTTAGAGCTAGAGGTTAGAGCGTGGGAGCCCCTCCGGGGAAGCGGGTCAGATCCGCAGGCTTGTTGGGAAGGGCGGCTGAGGCTTTGTGTTGACAGTGCTGGGAGCCGGGACTTCAGACTCCAGGCTCTGCCCTTCTGTTCCTCCTCCAGCCGCCGAGGCCGTTTCCCCATGGCACTCACGTGGGGCAGGTCCTCGGGTCTGAGTGTGGGCTGATGAGGGTGAGGACCCTGTGGGAGACTGGGGCAGGTGTCTGCATGGTCGAGGGCGAGTGTGGGCCGGTGGAGCCTGCTTCCTCTGTTGTTAGGCCCAGTGTGAAAACTGGCATGTGGAGTGTGGGGAGGCACTTCTGCTGCCTGGCGGGGGGTGGGGGTCCCCTTTTGGCCTTTAAGTATCCTGTGGAAGCCTCTTTGGGCAAGCCAAGCCATGAGCCCTTTTGCTGGCCCCCAGGGATGAGACAGCGTGGTTAGCTGAGCCCCCGGAGGCCATTCAGATCAGGCCGGAGTCCAGGGTGGTGCTGCCTAGAGGCCGAAGGAGACTTCCCCTGGGTCTCCTGTCCCCGCTCAGGAGGTTGGCAGGAGAACTGGATGGGTGTCAACCATATGTGGATGAAAACTTCCTGGTAGCCGAGTTCTCCCCAGAAGATGGGCTGAGGCTGTGCTGGGAGGGGACTCGAGATTAGCATGCCACATGGGGCCAGATGGCCCAGGAAGCAGGCCGAAATGTGTGGGGCACCAGCAAGGCACATGTTTTTGGACAGATTTTAATATTTTATTTTATTTTTTTATTGTTTGAGATGGAGTCTCACTCTGTCGCCCAGTCTGGAGTGCAATGGCATGATCTCAGCTCGCTGCTACCTCTGCCTCCCGGTTCAAGCCATTCTCCTGCGTCAGCCTCCTGAGTAGCTGGGATTACAGGCACCTGCCACCATGCCCAGCTAATTTTTTGCATTTTTAGTAGAGATAGGGTTTCACCAAGTTGGCCAGGCTGCTGTCGAACTCCTGACCTCGTGATCCACCCGCCTCGGTCTCCCAAAGTGCTGGGATTACAGGTGTGAGCCACCATGCCCAGCCTCCATTTTATTTTATTTTTTTTAGACAGAATCTCACTCTGTTGCCCAGGCTGGAGAGCAGTGGTGTAATCTTGGCTCACTGCAACCTCTGCCTCCCGGGTTCAAGCAATTCTGTCTTAGCCTTCCAAGTAGCTGGGATTACAGGTGCGTGCCACCATGGCTGGCTAATTTTTGTATTTTTAGTAGAGACGGGGTTTCACCACATTGGTCAGACTAGTCTCGAACTCCTGACCTCAGGTGATCCACCCGCCATGGCCTCTCAAAGTGCTGGGATTACATACAGGAGTGAGCCACTGCGCCCAGCCTAATATTTTCTATTTCAAAAACATCAGAATAGTCACCATGGGAAAGGTCAACAGTTTGTTGAACTTGATTTTATCTTACAATTTAGACTTCTCTGTTTTTAGTTCCGTATGGGGTATAGAGAGTATCTCCCTCTTTTTATGGCTTGTGGCTTTGATCTCCCAGTACCAAGAATATCTGGGGCAGACGCTTAGATGAGACTCTTGTCCGCCCTCTCCCAGTTCAGAGGAGGTGACTGAGGCACAGAGCCGGCAGTGACTACTACCCAGGCTTGCAAACCCAGGCCTCTGCTCTGCCTCCCGGCTCCACAATACTCCTGAGGCCTGGGACTCGAATCCTGATGTCACAGTGGGCACCTGTGCCTTTGTCTCCTGCAGCCTCAGGGACCACCACCCATCACCTCAGTGCCTTTTCCAGCAGGTGGCATTGATCAAACCCCTAGTGAGACCCAGGACCCTCCGAAGCCGATGGGAGCTGAGAGCAAGCAGCAGCCCCTTGGCAGGAGACCACTTAGCCCACCGCTCAGCTCGGCTGCAGGAAGGGGCGGGAGCGGGGCCCAGCAGCTCCAGTGCGGGTGGCAGAAATGAAGCTGCTGCAGTGTTCTGTTCCATGCAGTGAGGTCCCGAGGCTGGAATGGGCTGGCCCGGGACACTCCTGGAGGAGGTGAGGCGGCGTTGAGTCTGAGAAGGAAAATGGCCAGGAGTTGCTGGGAAGGAAGAACTCCCTCAGACCGTGGCCCCAGGCCCACCCCCTGAATCCCGTGCCGGGCTGGGGCTTCAAAGCCTGGAGAGAATCCGGGACTGTTCCTGGCCTGGCCCTGACCTTCCAGCCTTCGCAGGCCACCCACTCTGCTGATGTCTACTTCTTGTTGGTTTGTGGGAGCAGACGGAGTAATAGCGATCGTCTAAGGGAGACTTTAGAAGAGTCGGGTGCAGATAGACAGACACGGAAACCCCGGAACTGCCCACACCCTGGCGGCCAGCTCCATCGTGCCTGTCACCATGTGGCCTGCCGCCCCCGAGTCGGTCTTCACCCCTGACTCACTCTGCGATCGCATCAACTCACTTCTCCATCTTGGGTCTCAGAGGTTGTGTTTGTACCCTTGCGTGAAGAGGCCAGTACAGTCATCCTGCAAAGCCTCACAGGGGTGAGGAAGAAGGAACCAGAGGTCCAGGGCACACTCTTGTCGGTGGCACGCACTCAGGCTGAGGCCTGTGGCTCTGCTGGGCACCGCCCCAGGCGTGTGTGTCATCGAAAACCTCAGTCCTTGTGGAGCAGGGTCTGGGGCATCTGAGGTGGGCTCTGAAGGATGGGGAGGTCCTTGGCTGGTGGAGAGCAGAGGAGCCTTCTGTGCCGGGCGAACAGGAGGGACGAAGCCCTGGGGCGTGAGGAGTCTGGTCTGCAGGAAGATGAGGGCACAGTGCGGCTGGGAGCAGCAGGCTCTCTGCTCTGGCGTTGCTTTCCCTTCCAGCCCCACCCCAAATCGGGACACGCTGGGCCCTGGAGGTGCGGGCAGAGGCAAGGCCACCCCCGTCCTGGCCCCCCGTGTGAAGAGAAGGCAGGCTGTGCACACTGTCACCTCCCCAGCCCCAGCAGGGTCTCACAACATGGGTAGGGAAGGGGCATTCCAGGCAGGGGCACAGCCCACGCAAAGGGGAAATGCCAGAGGAGTGCAGTGTTAGTGGGAGCGCCGGGTGGGGGTGTGGGCCGGGTGGGAGCCCCACGTCTCTGCCGTTCTCCGGGAGGTCCGCTCGCGTGGGGCAGGTGTGGTGTGAATGGAGGAACGTGACCGTCCTGGCCGGAGAGGCCCATGGTGGAAGTGGTGAGGAACGCGGGGGCCTGAGTGCCCACCTGGGGGAGCCTGGAGTTCCTGCTGAGGACAGTGGGGAGCCACAGAAGGTCTTAGGCAGGGTGGTGACAGACTTACATGTTGTGTGTTAGGTGGAATCTGGGAGAGAGAGGAGGCAGAGAGGCCCATGAGGAGGCTGCTGCCCTCGTCCCAGCTGCGGGTGTTGGGAACGGCAGACATGGGGAGGAGGAGATGCTCATGAGAAACGTTTAGTTTCCTAGCCAGGTGCAATGGCTCACACCTGTAATCCCTGCACTTTGGGAGGCTGAGGCAGGCAGATCACTTGGGGTCAGGAGTTCAAGACCAGCCTGGCGAACCTGGTGAAACCCTATCTCTACTAAAAATACAAAAAGTAGCTGGGTATGGTGGCGGGCACCTGTAATCTCAGCTCCTCGGGAGGCTGAGGCAGGAGAATTACTTGAACCCAGGAGGCAGAGGCTGCAGTGAGCTGAAATCACACCACTGCACTCCAGCCTGGGTGACAGAGCAAGACTCCATCTCAAAAAAAAAAAAAAAGAAAAGAAAAAAAAAAAAAGAAAAGAAAGATTTGGTTTGCAGCACACAGCAGTGCTCAAGGCCTGCTGGCTGTTCTTGTTATTCGGGAGCTGAAGGGTGAGGGAGCGGAACGGGCTGAGCTGCCTGTGCCCTTCGGATGACGTTGATGAGGCTCCGTGTAGAGGACGCGGTTGGGGGCTGAGGCTGGGTGGCCTGCGCAGGCACTCCGCAGATGGCTCCGAGGCACGGTCCTCCCACCAGGCTCTGCTGGGTGTTCTGGGCGTCGGGACCCCTGCCTCTAGTCCTGCTTCTGCAGCCAGCTCCTGGTGTCCCTGTGGTCAAATCATGCCCCAGGGGCCTCAGTTTCCTAAATCGGGGATAGCGGTACTTATCGCACTGTGAGAACGGGCACTGAAGTTGCCCGGTGCGCTGCGGACGGCCGTGGGGAGGCAGCAGTGGCTGGCAGGATGGGGGAGGACCTCAGTGTGACTCAGCAGCCCTACGTGGCTGGGGCAGCTTGCAGAGGTGGTCCTGTGGCTGGCGCGGTAGCAGACACGGATGCAGCTGTGTCTGTAAGTCTGACAGCACGCGGGGGCGAGGGGGCTTGGGAGGGAGGGCCAGCCCTCGCCTGTGGTTATAACTCCCCCACCTCAGCCTCCACGTGCTGAGCCGCCTGCGGCAGAGCTGGGGCCAGCAGTGCCCCATTTGATCTGCACAGCCCCGTATCCCAGAGAGGACATGGACGTGAGGTGCCAAGCCCAGGGTCCTTCAGGGACTCTGAGGTAGTGAGGATCTGAACTCAAGGCCGCCGAGCTAGACGATGCTGTTTTCTGAGTCTTGGTGGGAAATGCAGCAGGAGGTGGCTTCCTGATGCAGGTGCAGCTCAGACAAAGGTGAACTGGAAGGGCCTGGGGCGAGTCCAGTCCGAGGGAGCAAGCTGAGCCATGCCTGGAAGACCTGAGAGCCAGCTGGCTTTCAGGGAAAGCCCAGCAAATACAGTGACCTCACCCACTGCACGCGCACACACATGCACACACACGCACACGCACATGCACACACGCGCGCACACACGCACACACACACAGTTTCTCATGCCATCCTGCCTCCTCAGCAGGCTCTTGCTGACCTAGTTACCAGCCCTCTAAAGCAGAGTTCTGCCCCAGCTCAGTGAGCTGCCAGCACAACACGGAGCTGTGCCCAGCAGGAGCAGTGCCCAGCTTCTCCAGGTCATTTGTGACCCTGCCCTCTCTCTGTCACCAACCCCTCAGTGCCTCCCGCTTTTACTGAAGGCTTTGGAATCCGGCACAAACACAGAATCTGAAACCCAGACACAAACATTCCATCTTCTGATGGGCCACGCGCAAACTGCTAGCCTCAGCGCTGAGCGTGGTGCCCGGGAGGCGGCAGGTGCTCGGGAGAGTGGAGCCCTCCGTTAAACAACACCCCTCTGTTGAACAAAGAGAACACGGGTTGGGTGGCGTGAGGAAAGGGAACACCTGGCCCACTCTGACACTTTTAGAGCACCTCTTCTGGGCCTGGCTCTGTGCCGAGCTGGGCTTTGTGGCCGGGGGTGTCGGGTGTGACTCAGATCACATCAGTTTGGCAGGGATGCACTCAGCCACAGATCACTCAGATGCAGACAGGATTTGGTCAGAGTCAGACAGAGACCACAGGATGCCGAGGGGCTCAGGGACCCGGGAGTTACTCTGACTGAGCGTCTAAATTGGCTCCTGGCTCCTGGCTGGCTGAGCAGGGCCAGAAAAGATGGGCTTTGCAGACAGAGGTGGAGAGTGGTGAGGCAGGCTTTCGGGCTGGAGGCAGGAGCGTGTGGACAGTGCTCCTGCCTCTCTGGGCGGGGCAGGAGATGCCACAGAGGCCCGGGAGAGGAGACGACTTTTCTCTGTGGTCTCCAATCTTATTATTATTATTTTTTTTGGAGACAGAGTTTTGCTCTTGTTGCCCAGGCTGGAGTGCATTTGCACGATCTCAGCTCACTGCAACCTCCACCTCCCAGGTTCAAGCGATTCTCCTGCCTCAGGCTCCTGAGTAGCTTGGGACTGCAGGTGTGCACCACCACGCTCAGCTAATTTTGTATTTTTAGTAGAGAAGGGGTTTCACCATGTTGGCCAAGCTAGTCTCGAACTCCCAACCTCAGGTGATCCACCTGCCTCGGCCTCCCAAAGTGCTGGGATTACAGGCGTGAGCCACCGCACCCGGCCTTCCAATCCTGCCTTTCAGTTACACAGACGGTGAAAACGGGGGAAGAAGGTGCCCACTCACCGCTTGGAACATGTTGGCAGTCCGCACGTTTTTGGTCTCCTTCAGGCAGTTTGCTGACCTGTTTTTCCCCAGCCTGGCTGACCAAGCAGCACACGGCTCAATATGACGTGGGCCCAGGGGCTGGAGCCCAGACTCCCTGTGCCTCTGCTCTGGATTCACGGGGGAGCAGAAGGAACAGTACAGCCGTCTTCCCTGCCTGGGGGTCTTGGCCTGGAACCTTTGAGTCTGTGTCATTGCAAGCAGTGACCCTCCCAGCACCTACCAAGTGTAGGCCATTGTGCCAGGCACGGAGATAATGTGCAATCGAGGCAGGTGCCGTGCGTGCCCTCATGGGGCTCACTGGTGGCAGGGGCCAGTCACAGACAATAAGGAAGCAGGGGAGGCTGAGCACAGTGCCTCACGCCTGTAATCCCAGCACTTTCGGAGGTCAGGACTGGAGGATCACATGAGCCCAGGAGTTTGAGTCCAGCCTGGGCAACATAGCAAGACTCCTGTCTGTACAAAAAAATATATATATTTTTTTAAAGTGAGGATGAAGAGGAAGCCAGGCTGAGGGCAGAGGACTCCAGGCAAGGGCAGGATTCTGTACAAATGTATACTCGGGGGATCAGGAAGGGCTCCAGTGCTCCCGTCAGATTCTCAATGGGGGCCAGGCGTGGTGGCTAGCGCATGTAATCCCAGCTACTCAGGAGGCTGAAGCAGGAGAATCGCCTGGACTGGGAGGTGGAGGTTTCGGTGAGCCAAGATCATGCCACTGCACTTCAGCCTGGGTGACAGAAACTCCATCTCAAAAAAAAAAAAAAAAAAAAAAATTCTCGGGCCGGGCGCGGTGGCTCACACCTGTAATCCCAGCACTTTGGGAGGCCGAGGCAGGTGGATCACGAGGTCAAGAGATCGAGACCATCCCGGTCAACATGGTGAAACCCCATCTCTACTAAAAATACAAAAAATTAGCTGGACATGGTGGCGTGTGCCTGTAATCCCAGCTACTCAGGAGGCTGAGGCAGGAGAATTGCCTGAACCCAGGAGGCGGAGGTTGCGGTGTGCCGAGATCGTGCCATTGCACTTCAGCCTGGGTAACAAGAGCGAAACTCCGTCTCAAAAAAAAAAAAAAAAAAAAAAAAAAAAAAAAAAAAAAAAAGAAATTCTCAAAGGGATCCATGACCCCCAGACAAGGAGGAACGTATGGTCTGGTTATGTTTTCTGTGTGCCACGTTGGGGCAGTGGCAGGGAGGACCACAAATGCCAGCTCTAGAAGAGCTGGGCTCTGGGCTGTTCCCTGCGTTCTCACGAAGGACCCTGAGGGACATGTTTTTTTCTGATGTACATAACAGGACTAGCTGTGCTCCCTGGAAGTTTTCTGGTTTTTGAATCTGGGGGACGCTGCATGGCACTGACTGATCTCTGTCATGTTGATATTACCTTCAAGAAAGCTTCATTCATTCATGTGTGCATTTAGTGGACAAGCGATTTTATGAAGCCGAGTGATCGTGTGAACTCTACTGTGAGCCAGTGCTGCGTTCAGAGCCAAAAGCAGGGCCGTGGCAGGTGGTGCTGGCGCGCTGCACCCACACGCTCGCCGCCAACCTCCTTCCTGGCATACCGACCATATCCCCATCTTTGTTTAAACCATCATTTTCCTTCTGTCCTGTTTTGCCTACCCCATTGTTTTAAGTGAGTTTTGTCGTACTGGATTGTGTTTTTTTGTGAATCACTACAAATCATTCTAGGCCAGGCAGAGGTATAAAGAAAAGGGAATAAAATACAGATATCAGGCTGGGTGCAATCAGGCTCTCGCCTGGAATCCCAGCACTTTGGGAGGTCAAGGCAGGCAAATTAACTTGAGGTCAGCATATTGAGACCAGCCTAGCCAACATGGTGAAACCCCAACTCTACTAGAAAGACAAAAATTTGCCGGACCTGGTGGCACATGCCCATAATCCCAGCTATTCAGGAAGCTGAGGCAGGAGAATCGCTTGAACCCGGGACGTAGACGTTGCAATAAGCTGAGATCACACCACTGCACTCCAGAGCAGAGCCAGAGTCCATCTCAATAAATAAACAAATGAAATATAGATCTCTACTTTGTGCCAGACTCAGGGAAATGGACTGGAAATTGAGAGATAAGTCATGCCCATGCTCCTCCTCATCGAGTCTGGAAGGCTGGTTTTTGGATAATAAAATTTTAGGCACGTACACAGGTAAACAAGATAACTATAGTAAACCCAATATGTCCACCAACCAGAGGACACAGTTATCAAGATTTTGTCACATAGGCCAAATTTCTTTTGTGCTCCGTTTTTCGTTTTTGTTGTCAAAGTACTTAAAGCCTGGCTACTCAACATGGGACCTGAGGACCGGCAGCGTCGGCATGATTTGGGAGCTTGTTAGTATAGAATCTCAGCCCCATTCTGATTCATTACCTGCTGAATCAGAATCTGGATTTTAACAAGTGTTTCAGAAACATTATTTTACACCAAACCCCAAATGTTGTGTCATTTCCCTCCCAAAGAACACGGACATCTTCATTTCGAAAGAACATGGAGGCCGGGCGCGGGGGCTCATGCCTGTTATCCCAGCGCTTTGGGAGGCTGAAGTAGGAGGATCGCTGGAGGTCAGGAGTTCAAGACCAGCCTGGCCAACAGGGCAAAACCCCGTCTGTACTAAAAATACAAAAATTAGCCAGGTATGGTGGTGCACACCTGTAGTCCCAGCTACTTGGAAGGCTGAGGCAGGAGAACAGCTTGAACTCAGGAGGCAGAGGTTGCAGTGAGCCGAGATTGCACCACTGCACTCCAGCCTGGGTGACAGAGCAAGACTCTGTCAAAATAATTAATAATAATTTAAAATAAATTTAAAAATAAATTTAAAAGATAAAAAGAACATTTTCTCATTGACCAGGATGATTCGATGACCCTGAAATGCACTTCATAAAGGAAAGGCAAAAATAAAGCCAAAAACTTTTTAATAGTTTTCAGAGCAAGGGAACGGTGACCTTTTTACTTCCATTGGTGGCAAATGAAATGTTTTGCTTTCTTTTTCTTTTCTTTTTTCTCTTTTCTTTTGAGACAGAGTTTTGCTCTTGTTGCCCAGGCTGGGGTGCAATGGTGCAGTATTAACTCATTGCAATCACTGCCGACCGGATTCAAGCGATTCCCCTGCCTCAGCCTCCCAAGTACCTGGGATTACAGGTGCACGCCACCACACCTGGCTGGTTGTTTTTTTTTTTTTTTTTTTTTTTTTCTGTATTTTTAATAGAGACAGGGTATCTTCATATTGATCAGACTGGTCTTGAACTCCCGACCTCAGGTGATCCACCCACCTTGGCCTCCCAAAGTGCTGGGATTATAGGCATGAACCACCATACCCTGCCAAGGATTTTTTTTTTTTTTTTTTTGAGATGGAATCTTGCTCTGTCTCCCAGGCTAGAGTGCAGTGGCGTGATCTTGGCTCACTGCAACCTCTGCCTCTTGGGTTCAAGCAATTCTGCCTCAGCCTCCCCAGTAGCTGGGACTACAGGTGCACACTGCCATGCCCGGCTAATTTTTTGTATTTTTTAAGTAAAGACAGGGTTTTACCATGTTGCCCACTCAGTCAATCTGCCCTCTTTGGCCTCCCAAAGTGCTGGGATTACAGGCATGAGCCACCGTGCCCGGCCTCTTTTTTCTTTTCTTTTGGAGACAGACTCTTGCTTTGTCACTCAGGCTGGAGTGCTGTGGCATAATCAAGGCTCACTGTGCAACTTCCTGGGCTCAAGTGATTCTCCCACCTCAGCCTCCCAGGTAGCTGAGACCACAGGCAGGCACCACTGTACGCAGATAAGTTTTTGATTTTTTTGTAGAAACGGGGTCTCACTGTATTGCCCAGGTTGGTCTGGAACTCCTGGGTGCAAGTGATCCTCCCACTTCAGCCTCCCAAAGTGCTGGAATTATAGGTGTGAGCCACCTTGATTTCTTTTGTTTATATTTTTTTCTCTCTTGTGAATATCTTGAGCTCATGCAAGTTTTATATATTCAGTGTGTTTTATATACTTGTAGTTATTATTTTAAATAATATTAAATATTTTAATTATAATTATTTTTTAATGTAAGCTTTTTAAAAAGTACAACATACAGAAAAACGGACAAGTTTAGATCAGTAAATTTTCTTTTTTTTTTCTTTTTTTAAGATGGGGTTTCACCATGTTGGTCAGGTTGGTGTTGAACTCCCGACCTCAGGTGATCCGCCCACCTTGGCCTCCAAAGTGCTTGGATTACAGGCATGAGCCACCACGCCTGGCCTGATCAGTAAATTTTCATATTAAGTTACACCCATATGAAGAAACAGCACAGGTCAGGTGCGGTGGCTCACACCTGTAATCTCAGCACTTTGAGAAGCCAAGGTTGGGGGATCACCTGAACCTAGGAGTTCAAGACCAACTTGAGCAACACAGGGAAACTTTGCCTCTCAAAAAAAAAAAAAAAAAAAAAAAAAAAAATTAAGTATGGTGGCACAGGCCTGTAGTCCCAGCTACTCGAAAGGCTGAGGTGGGGGCCGGGCGCGGTGGCTCAAGCCTGTAATCCCAGCACTTTGGGAGGCTGAGGCAGGTGGATCACGAGGTCAAGAGATCGAGACCATCCTGGTCAACATGGTGAAACCCCGTCTCTACTAAAAATACAAAAAATTAGCTGGGCATGGTGGCATGTGCCTGTAATCCCAGCTACTCAGGAGGCTGAGGCAGGAGAATTGCCTGAACCCAGGAGGCGGAGGTTGCGGTGAGCCGAGATTACGCCATTGCACTCCAGCCTGGGTAACAAGAGCGAAACTCTGTCTCAAAAAAAAAAGAAAGGCTGAGGTGGGAAAACCACCTGAGCCCAGGAAGTGGAGGCTGCAGTGAGTCGCGACTGCGCCACTGCACTCCAGGCTGGGCAACAGAGTGAGAGCTGGTCTCAAAAAGAAAAACATACAGTGTACAACCTTGAGGGTTAAGAAGTATTTTTTTTTTTTTTAATTTTTTTGAGACGGAGTTTCGCTCTTGTTAACCAGGCTGGAGTGCAATGGCGCGATCTCGGCTCACCGCAACCTCCGCCTCCTGGGTTCAGGCAATTCTCCTGCCTCAGCCTCCTGAGTAGCTGGGATTACAGGCACGTGCCACCATGCCCAGCTAATTTTTTGTATTTTTAGTAGAGACGGGGTTTCACCATGTTGACCAGGACGGTCTCGATCTCTTGACCTTGTGATCCACCCGCCTCGGCCTCCCAAAGTGCTGGGATTACAGGCTTGAGCCACCGCGCCCGGCCAAGAAGTATTTTTTGAACTTTATTAAACTTCAGAGCATCTGTTTATCAAAAAAGATAGTGAAACGGCAAACCACAGAGTAAGAAAATATTTACCAGGCACTGCTCTCTTCTGCAGCACATAACCTAAAATTGGAACGGTACAGAGAGATTAGCATGGCCCCTGCGCAAGGATCACACACAAATTCATGAAGCATTCCATATTTTTGAGAAACGCAAATCAAGACCACGTTGAGATACCACCTCACACCAGTTAGAATGGCGATCATTAAAAAATCTGGAGACAACAGATGCTGGAGAGGATGTGGAGAAAAAGGAACACTTTTACAGTGTTGGTGGGAGTGTAAATTAGTTCAACCATTGTGGAAGACAGTGTGGCGATTCCTCAAGAATAGAATTTCTGGAAACATAAATACCATTTGACCCAGCAATCCCAATACTGGGTATATATCCAAAGGATTATGAATCATTCTATTATAAAGACACATGCACACATGTTCATTGCTGCACTGTTTACAATAGCAAAGACTTGGAACCAACCCAAACACCCATTGATGATAGACTGGACAAGGAAAATGTGGTACATATACACCATGGAATACTATGCAGCCATCAAAAACGATGAGTTCATGTCCTTTGTAGGGACATGGATGAACCTGGAAACCATCATTCTCAGCAAACTGACACAAGAGCAGAAAATCAAACACTGCATGTTCTCACTCATAGGCAGGTGTTGAACAATGAGAACACATGGACACAGGGAGGGGTGCATCACACACTGGGGTCTGCTGGGGTGGATTAGGAGAGGGACAGCGGGGGATAGGGAGTTGGGGAGAGAGAGCATGGGGAGAAATACCAGATATAGGTGACTGGGGGATGGAGGCAGCAAACTACATTGCCATGTATGTACCTATGCAACAATCCTGCATGTTCTGCACATGTACCCCAGAACCCAAAGTGCAATAAACTATATATATGTATATATATAAACAAAATATTTGCAATGCAAACTGATAAAAGATTAATTTCAGAATATGTAAAGAATTTCCACAAACCGGCCACGCGCGGTGGCTCATGCCTGTAATCCCAGCACTTTGGGAGGCCGAGGCGGGTGGATCATGAGGTCAAGAGATCGAGACCATCCTGGTCAACATGGTGAAACCCCATCTCTACTAAAAATACAAAAAATTAGCTGGGCATGGTGGTGCGTGCCTGTAATCCCAGCTACTCAGGAGGCTGAGGCAGGAGAATTGCCTGAACCCAGGAGGCGGAGGTTGCGGTGAGCCGAGATTACGCCATTGCACTCCAGCCTGGGTAACAAGAGCGAAACTCCGTCTCAAAAAAAAAAGAATTTCCACAAACCAATAAGAAAAAGACATGCCTGCAAATAGAAAAGGACATTTCGGCTGGGCACGTGGCTCACACCTGTAATCCCAGCACTTTGGGAGGCCGAGGCAAGTGGATCACATGAGGTCAGGAGTTCAAGACCAGCCTGGCCAACATGGCGAAACCCTGTCTCTACTAAAAACACAAAAATTAGCCAGGCATGGTGACAGAGTGCCTATAGTCCCAGCGACGTGGGAGGCTGAGGCAGGAGAATTGTTTTAATTCCAGTATGGTCAGAGAACATATTTTGAGTTATTTCAATCCATTGATATTTATTGAGGTTTTCTTTGCGATCTAGCATATGGTCAATTTTGGTAGATGTTTCACATGTGCTTGAAAAGGGTTTCTTTTTCCACTGTTGGGTACAGAGTTCTGTCTGTCAGGTCAAGTTTCCTGATGGTGTCGTTCATATATTCTCCAACCTTGCTGATTTTTTGGTCTGCTTTTAGAGCTAACAGGAAAGGTTTGTTAAAGGGTTATTCTCCCACTTTCATTGTGGCGTTTTGTATTTTTCCTTTTAATTCAGTCAACTTTTGCTTTCATATTTTGAAATGATGTTATTGAATACATACAGGTTTAAAATTGTCACATCTTCCTACTGAATCAAAAACAACATATTTGTGTGGATGTATTTTTTTTTCTTCCTTATACAAAGGCTAGTATCATTTACAAACCTCTCCTTCATGGAATGCTTTTTATTTCTTCATGAAACCTCTACTGCTAAATAAACAATCATTAATTTGAAAAAAATATTTGCACTAATTCCAATTAAAAAATTGGCTGGGTGTGGTGGGTGTGGTGGCCTGTAATCCAAGCATTTTGGAGGCCAAGTCGGGAGAATCACCTGAGGTCAGGAGTTCAAGACCAGCCTGACCAACATGGCGAAACCCCATCTTAAAAAATAAAAAATTATAATGCATTCCACCCAACCGAAGATACTCAAATGATTTTCACTCTTAGGAAAATGTATTAATTGACCAATTAAACAAGTTTAGATAAATAAAAATAACATTTTGAACATAAAAATAAAATTTCCATATACAATTTATTATATCAATGGTTTATTGGCCTCATTAAAAAAAAAACAAGACAAGATTTGAGTGGGGACTAGGCACAGTGGCTCACACCTGTCATGACAGCACTTTGGGAGGCCGAGGAGGGCAGATCACTTGAGGTCAGGAGTTTGAGACCAGCCTGGCCAGCATGGTGAAACCCCGTCTCTACTAAAAATACAAAGAATTAGCTGGGCATAGTGGCAGATGCCTGTAATCACAGCTACTCAGGAGGCTGAGGCAAGAGAATTGCCTGAACCCAGGAGGCGGAGCCAAGATCACACCACCGCACTCCAGCCCTGGTGACAGAGTGAGACTCCAACTCAAAGAAAAAAAAAAAAAAGTTACAGAGGAACACCTTGAGGACAAAATAAATACTGAACCCAAAAGCACTTCCAAATATATGGAAATAGTCAGTGCACTCATACAATTTCAGAATCATAGACCATTCAGCCCTCTGAACGACATACATTTGCAAAGGCAGGCACTTGGGATTTATCCAAACATGGCATGCAATGCAGTTTAGTTCCATGTGATATTGTTGGACTAGAAACTGTTATTTAGTAAGTAAATCGGTGAGTGTGTCTTCTCCTGAGAGCGTGATGTCATATTTACTTAGCGTATTTAGAGACGAAAGTCACTAAACCAAAAAAGGAGTGTTGCCAAGAAGTGGTACAGCTTTTTAAGAGTGTTTGTGGCAAAAGTCGTTACCTGAACAGTAATTGAACAGATAAGTCTGTAAATTGGACTTCACCTTGCTTTTTTCCCATGGAAACCATACATTAGAGGCCAGGTGCAGTGGCTCACACCTGTAATCCCAGCACTTTGGGAGGCCGAGGTAGGTGGATCACCTGAGGTCAGGAGTTTGAGACCAGCCCGGCCAACATGGTGAAAACCTGTCTGTACTAAAAATACAAAAATTAGCTGGACGTGGTGGCAGGTGCCTGTAATCTCAGCTACTTGGGAGGCTGAGGCAGGAGAATCATTTGCCTGGAGATCCCAGGAGGAGGAGGTTGCAGTGAGCCGAGATCACGCCTTTGTACTCCAGCTTGGGTGACAAGAGCAAAAGTCTGCCTACACACACACACACACGCACACGCACACACACACGCACACACACACACACGCGCACACAAACGCACACACACACACACACACACACAGAGTTTTAAGCAATGAGGTGGCATGATCAGACAATGTTTGTTTTTTTTTTTTGAGGCAGTCTCACCCAGGCTGGAATTCAGTGGCATGATCTCACTGCAACCTCCACCTCCTGGGTTCAAGCAATTCTCCCACATCAGCCTCCTGAATAGCTGGTATAACAGGCACTTGCCACCATGCCTGGCTAATTTTTGTATTTTTTGTAGAGATGGGATTTCACCATATTGGTCAGGCTGGTCTCGAACTCCTGACCTCACTCAGGTGATCCACCCGCCTCAGCCTCCCAAAATGCAAGGATTGCAGTCGTGAGCCACCACACCTGGCCGAGACAAGTCTTGAAAGAGAAAGGGCAGGAGACTAACATGGTCCAGCAAAAGACGAAGAGGTCAGTGGGGCAGAACCAAGTCCTGACAGAGGCCAAATGCACATAGAATTCAGAGGAGGAGAAAGGCGGTGTCTGAAAACTGTGGGGGTAAGGTGAGCTGCTCAACAAATAATGATGAGACAGTTTCAACCAGGGGAAAAAAAGTGAATTCATATCTCTGTTTCACTCCATATGTAAAAATAAAATCCAGATGGACCAAAGATTAAACATAAGTGAAAGAAGAAAAACAATATTGAAGGAAACATGAGTGAATTAAAAGAAATAACCAGGCAGGGCGCCGTGGCTCACGCCTGTAATCCCAGAACTTTGGGAGGCCGAGGCAGGTGGATAAGGAGGTCAAGAGATGGAGACCACCCTGGCCAACATGGTGAAACCCCGTCTCTACTAAAAAATACAAAAATCAGCTGGGTGTAGTGACGCGTGCCTGCAGTCCCAGCTACTCGGGAGGCTGAGGCAGGAGAATCACTTGAACCTGGGAGGCAGAGATGGCAGTGAGCCAAAGATCACGCCACTGCACTCCAGCCTGGCGACAGAGTGAGACTCCATTTCAAACAAAAACAAAAACAACAAAAAAAGAGAAATAACCTGGAGGAGGATGACACAAAGCTGACATCATAAAGGAAAAATAATTTGACTACATCAAAAAATGTAGATGTGGGGAAAATAGCACATGCAGGGCGAAGGACCAGCTGCGGGGGAGGCAGGCTCTTCAGCACGCGCCAGCTCTCCGGGGTGGAGGAAAGCGCTCACAATAAATAAGAAAAGAATATCTCTTCGGCCGGGCGCAGTGGCTCAGGCCTGTAATCCCAGCACTTTGGGAGGCTGAGGCGGGTGGATCACGAGGTCAAGTGATCGAGACCATCCCGGCCAACACGGTGAAACCGCGTGTCTACTAAAATACAAAAATTAGCTGGGCATGGTGGCGTGTGTCTGTAGTCCCAGCTACTCGGGAAGCTGAAGCAGGAGAATTGCTTGAACCCAGGAGGTGGAGGTTGCGGTGAGCCGAGATTGCACCACTGCACTCCAGCCTGGCTCCTGGTGACAGAGCGAGACTCTGTCCCAAAAAAAAAGAAAAAAGAAAAAAGAAAAGAGTATCTTTTCATAAAAATGAATAATAGATATGAGTAGGCAGTAAACAAAAGAGGCTTGACCTCACTCATGATTTAAAAATCGTTTTGGGGGCTGAGCTTGGTGGCTCACGCCTATAATCCCAGCACTCTGGGAGGCTAAGATGGAAGATTACTTGACCCAGGAGTTCAAGACCAGCCTGGGAAACACAGTGAGACATCATCTCTATAATTTTTTTTTTTTTTTTTTTTTTTAATTAGCCAGGACTTGGCTGGGCTTGGTGTCTTACACCGGTAATCCCAGCACTTTGGGAGGCTGAGGCAGGCGGATCATGAGATCACGAGTTCGTAACCAGCCTAACCAACATGGTGAAACCTTGTTTCTACTAAAAATACAAAAATTAGCTTGGCATGGTAGCGCACGCCTATAACCTCAGGAGGCTGAGGCAGAATTGCCTGGACCTGGGAGGCGGAGGTTGCAGTGAGCTGAGATCTCACCACTGCACTCCAGCCTGAGAGACAGAGTGAGACCTTATCTCAATCAAACAAAAACTGAAAAATAATTTTGAAACAAGATGATGAGATATTCTTAAGGATGAAAATATCTGCATGGTCAGTCCAGGCAACACTGTGTGTGGGGAAATAACTCTTCCCCCATGCTGCTGCTGGAGTGTGAATTGGCAGAAACCCTTTGGGAAGTAATCTATCATCATCTATTTTTCCCCAAAACATTTTAAATTTTTGAGGTCAGGAGTTAGAGACCAGCCTGGCCAACGTGGCAAAACCTCATCTCTATTAAAAATACAAAAAGTTAGCCGGGTATGGTGGCCGGCACCTGTAATCCCAGCTGTGTGTGGGAGACTGAGACAGAGAATCTCTTGAACCTAGGAGGTAGAGGTTGTAGTGAGCCAAGATCGCACCACTGCACTCCAGCCTGGGCAACAGAGTGAGGCCCCATCTCAAAAAAAAAAAAAAAAAAAAAAAAAAGAAATAAATAAAAATAAATTGCAGACGTTAAGTGTAATTCAACTCTAAACATTTCAGCATACGTATCAACAAGATGTGTTTGTGTTTCTTTTTTAAGGTAATATTTACATACAGTGACATGCGCAGATTCTAAGCAGACCACTCAGGTACCTGACCCAGGTACACCTTTGTAATTCAAACACCTGTCAAGATGCAGAATATTTTGGCCGGGCATGGTGGCTCACGCCTGTAATCCAAGCACTTTGGAGGCCAAGGTGGGCGGGTCACCTGAGGTTGGGAGTTCAAGACCAGCCTGACCAACATGGTGAAACCCCATCTTAAAAAAAAAAAAAAGATATAGAATATTTTCATTATCCCAGAAAGTTCCTTCTAGTCCTTTCCTAGTTAGTCCCATCCTCTGAAGCAAACTTTTTTTTTTTTTGAGACGGAGTTTCACTCTTGTTGCCCAGGCTGGAGTGCAATGGCACATTCCCGGCTCACCGCAACCTCCACCTCCCGGGTTCAAGCAATTCTCTTGTTTCAGCCTCCCAAGTAGCTGGGATTACAGGCATGTGCCATCACGCCTGGCTAATTTTTTGTATTTTTAGTAGAGGCAGGGTTTTACCATGTTGGCCAGGATGGTCTCAATCTCTTGACCTCGTGATCCACCTGTCTCGGCCTCCCAAAGTGCTGGGATTACAGGTGTGAGCCACCACGCCCGGCGCAAATTTTTTTATTATAGATTAGTGTTGCTGGTTCTAGACCCTCATATAAATGGAGTTATACAATAGATGTCTTTCATGTAAGGTTTCTGTCACTCAGCATAATAATTGTTGTTGTTGTTGTTTTGAGATGGAGTCTGGCTGTCGCCTGGGCTGGAGTGCAGTGGCACAATCTTGGTTCACTGCAACTTCCACCTCCCAGGTTCAAGTGATTCTCCTGTACCAGCCTCCCAAGTAGCTGGGTTTACAGGCGCGAGCCACCACTATGCCGGGCTAATTTTTGTATTTGTAATAGAGACAGGGTTTCACACTGTTGGGCAGGCTAGTCCCGAACTCCTGACCTCAAGTGATCTGCCTGCCTCAGCCTCCCAAAGTGCTGGGATGACAGGCATGAGCCACTGTGCCTGGCCAGCATAATGGTTTTTGAGATTCATCACGTTGCCATATATCTGTTCATTGCTCTTCACTCCTGAGTGGTATTCTATTGTAGGAATACACCACAGCTGGCTCTTCCATTCTGTTGACGGTCATTTGGATTGTTCGCAGTTTGGGGCTATTCTGAATAAAGCTGGTAGAAGACATTCTTGTGCAGGTAGTTTTGGGGACACATGTTTTCTCCTGGGGTCACTTGGAGGGGTACCTAGAACACAGGCGGGCCTTCTTCCTGGGGCTGATCATCTACTATAACTTTGGTGCAAGACACAGTGATGTGAGTCTGCACTGCGTGCCAGGTGTGGACATGACAGTGAGGGGTGTGAGGAGGCGGGAAGTGCTTCTTTGAGGAGAGGGAGCTAGGGAAGGCTTCTTGGAGCGGTGGGGGGGCGGGTGGGGGGAGCGCTCTAGTACTGGCACAGCTGGGTTGAGCACGAGGATCAGAGGCTCTGGTCAGATGCACCTGTGCCCACTCTCCCTCTCACACGCACAGAACGATCCTCGGGAATCTCACTTTTCTCAGCTGAAAAACAGGGTTAATGACACCACAGGATTGGTGGAATAATGAGAGTAAAAACCCTCTTTCGGCCGGGCGTGGTGGCTCATTTTGGGAGGCTGAGGCGGGCGGATCACCTGAGGTGGGAAGTTCGAGACCAGCCTGGCCAACATGGTGAAACCCCGTCTCTACTACTAAACATACAAAATTAGCCGGGTGTGGTGGAACGTGCCTGTAATCCCAGCTACTCGGGAGGCTGAGGCAGGAGAATTGCTTGAACCCAGGAGGCAGAGGTTGCGGTGAGCCGAGATCGTGCCATTGCACTCCAGCCTGGGCAACAAGAGCGAAACTCCGTCTCAAAAACAAACAAAAAGTCCTCTTTCATGAAATGCTGCTCTTTTCCCCACAGGCCTGGCCCCGCTGGCTGCCTTCAATGTGGATGTGACCCGGCCCTGGCTCACAGCCGAGGGAGGTGTCCCTTTTGTGCTCAGCTCTCTCCTGCACCAAGACCCCAGCACCAACCAGACCTGGTAAGTGGGGCCGGTGGGCAGGAGGCCTTCAGACTGAAGGGCTTCCAGGGAGCCTGAGATGGGCCCAGAGTCGGCCATGACATCCCACCCTTAGGCGGGAGAGGAACTCCTTTCTCTTCAGAAGCGCTTGCAGGAGAAAGAGAGAAGGCATGAGAGAGGTGGTGGGCATCGAACCCCAGCCCCACACCTCATTGGACCTCTCCCTGCTCCAATGCTTAGGGAGAGGCTGGACTTAAAAACAATTTTTAAATAGAGCATATTAGGGCTCTTTTATTCCTTATAGAAGTAACACATGTTCGATATAGAACATTTGAAAACAAACATAAAAAAGAAAAAACTGGGCGGGGCACCGTGGCTCACGCCTGTAATCCCAACGCTTTGGGAGACTGAAGCCAGAGGATCACTTGAGGCCAGGAGTTCAAGATCAACCTGGGCAACATAGTGAGACCCCCCAACTCTAAAAAATTAAGTAAAAATTATCTGAATGTGGTGCTGCCTGCCTGTAGTCCCACCTACTCAGGAGGCTGAGGCAGGAGGACCACTTGGACCCAGGAGGTAGAGGCTGTAGGGAGCCATGATTGCACCACTGCACTCCAGCCTGTCTCCAAAACACCCTGAAACTCTGCGGCACAAGAGTGCGGCGGTTGGGAGGCGGGCTGTGGTTCTGGCGGTCACAGTCCCCTACGGCTTCGCTGTGTATCTGCTGTGCAGCCTCAGCAAGGTGCTCGGCCCCGAGCCTCAGCTTCTCTCCACAATCAGCCTGGATATTACCTGTTTCACAGAATGGTGGTAACTCATGCAAAGGGCTTAGCACCATTTCCAGCCACATGAATGCTCACTAAACCTTATATTTTAAAAATATCATCTGTGTCTACCTGTGCGATAAGCAAAACATAAAATCTGCCAACGCTGCTGGTAGGGTTGTGGTGACATGGGAACGTGTGGAGGGTGAACTGGCATCACCACCTCGGAGAGCAGTTTTGCCACATCTGGTCAAGCTGAGGACGCGTGTGGCCCCTGCCAATTCCACTCCCAGGTCCCAACTCTAGAGAAATTCTCAGACACATATAAAGATGTCTGTGGCAGCATGGCCTGGAATCATGAAAGACTGACAATATTCCTCATTAGGACAACGCAAAAAATACTGATGTGACTCATATAAGGCAATACTAAAACCAGATGCCCTGGATGAAGCCAGTGCAGTGGCTGTTAGCCCGGAGCAGTCTAGAACATACTGTGAGATGAAAAGCCCGAGGTGCAGAATGAAATATACAGTGGTCGGCGGGGGCAGCGGCTCACCTGTAATCCCAGCACTTTGGGAGGTCAAGGTGGGAGGATCACAGGAGGCCAGGAGTTCAAGACCAGCCTGGGTAGCATAGTGAAACCCTGTCTACAAAAAATATAAATAAAATCAGCCAGACATGGTGGCTCAAGTCTGTAGTCCGTCCCAGCTGCTTGGGAGGCTGAGGTGAGAGAACTGCTTGAGCCCTGGGTGGGGGTCGAGGCTGCCGTGAGCTGTGATTGTGTCACTGGACTTCAGCCTGGGTGACAGAGTGAGACCCTGTCTCAAAAAAAAAAAAAAAAGAAGTAAACTATGCATTCCCTCAGATGGTGATAGTGGCTGTGCGCGGATGTAGGTGTATGCCTGTAGTTAGAAGCTCTGGGGCTGGAGGCCGAGGTTGCGGTGAGCCGAGATTGCGCCGTTGCACTCCAGCCTGGGTAACGAGAGTGAAACTCCGTCTCAAAAAAAAGCTCTGGGGTAAAGGGTCATGAGATCTGAGGCTCATTTTTTTTTTTTAGATGGAGTTTCCTTCTGCCACCAGGCTGGAGTGCAGCACTGCTATCTCGGCTCACTGCAACCTCCACCTCCCAGGTTCAAGTGATTCTCCTTCCTCAGCCTCCCAAGTAGTGGGACTACAGGCACCTGCTACCACACCCAGCTAATTTTTGTATTTTTAGTAGAGATGGGGTTTCACCATGTTGGCCAGGCTGGTCTCGAACTCCTGACCTCAGGTGATCCAGCTGCCTCGGCCTCCCACAGTGCTGGGGTGACAGGTGTGAGCCACCGCGCCCGGCCCAAGATGACTTCTAGAGTTGCGTTGTTTTAAAGCCAGATCTGCTCAAGGTTTACGTCTCACATATTGCTGTTACGTCTCTGTCGTTGATTTCAATCCAAGGCGGTCGTTTCTCCCCCACTTTTTTCTGGATGGTCGTAGGGCTTTTCCTGTGCCCTACAGTATTGTCCCACTGAGCCAGGCGCAGACCCAGCCTAGGCTGGTTACCTCCTCGTCCCACCCAGCCCACCCAATTGCTTTGCTTCTGGCCAGTGGTCAACGCTTTCCTTCATACCCAGCACACAGCGGGGCAAGTGAGCCCAGGGTCCAAATAGGCAACAGCTCTGGCACTGGGGCACAGCCAGATGAGGCTCCTGGCTACGCAGAGCAGGAGCTCTGCTTGGTAGAGAATCAGTGGGCAGTGGCGGCACCTGATGCGCCTCAGAGGTCCTGGGACTTGGGCCATGACCCCGACAGCTAGCCAGGCAGACTTGGACCCTGTGATACCATGAAGTGTATATTTGGTATTTCAAGACTGAATATATATTTTACCATGTAACAGATAAAAATATATTTGGTCTCAAAATAAATATTTGGTCCCATTTTCTGGCATACACTCCTAAAATCTTTGGAATCTCCAAGGTAATAAATGTGTATTTCTTTTTTTTTTTTTTTTTTTTTTTTTTTGAGACGGAGTTTCGCTCTTCTTACCCAGGCTGGAGTGCAATGGCACGATCTCGGCTCACCGCAACCTCCGCCTCTCGGGTTCAGGCAATTCTCCTGCCTCAGCCTCCCGAGTAGCTGGGATTACAGGCATGCGCCATCATGCCCAGCTAATTTTTTGTATTTTTAGTAGAGATGAGGTTTCACCATGTTGACTGGGATGGTTTCGATCTCTTGACCTCATGATCCACCTGCCTCAGCCTCCCAAAGTGCTGGGATTACAGGTGTGAGCCACCGCGCCCGGCAATAAATGTGTCTTTCTTTGCAAATGAGTTGATGGGTGACTGGCTGCTCCCAGGTAGCTGCACCCCCATCTTTCAGGAGTGGGGAGGGGCTGAAGGTTAAGTTGGTCACCAGTGGCCAATGACTTCATCAATCATGCCTATGTAAAGAAGTTCCCATAAAAACTCAAAAGGACAGGGTTTGGGGGGCTTCTGGGCAACAGAGCACGTAGAAGTTCCTTGACGGTGGTGCCAGAAGAGAGTGGAAGCTTTGCCCCCACCCCCACTTTGCCTTATGCATCACCTCATCTGTATCCTTTATAATATCCTTTAAAAAAAAAAAAAAGTAGTCTCACTCTTGTTGCCCAGGCTGGAGTGCAATGGCACAATCTTGGCTCACTGCAACCTCCGCCTCCCAGGTTCAAGCGATTCTCCTGCCTTAGCCTCCCAAGTAGCTGGGACTACAGGCACACGCCACCACCCCCAGCTAATTTTTGTATTTTTAGTAGAGATGCAGTATCACCATTTTGGACAGGCTGGTCTCCAACTCCTGAACTCATGATCTGCCCACCAACATGGTGAAACCCCGTCTCTCCTAAAAATACCAAAAAACTAGCCGAGTGTGGTGATGGACACCTGTAATACCAGCTACTTGGGAAAGGCAGAATCGCCTGAACCCGGAAGGCAGAGGTTGCAGTGAGCCAAGACTGTACCAGTGCACTCTGGCCTGGGCAACAAGAATGAAACTCTATATCAAAAAAAAAAAAAAAAAAAAAAAAAAAAAGAGGCTGGGTGCGGTGGCTCACGCTTGTAATCCTAGCACTTTGGGAGGCCAAGGTGGGTGGATCATGAGGTCAAGAGATCGAGACCATCCTGGCCAACATGGTGAAACCCCATATCTACTAAAAAATACAAAAATTAGCTGGGCGTGGTGGCGTGTGCCTGTAGTTCCAGCTACTCGGGAGGCTGAGGCAGGAGAATCACTTGAACCAGGGAGGTAGAGGTTGCAGTGAGCCAAGATTGCGCCACTGCACTCCAGTCCAACGACAGAGTGAGACTCTGTCTCAAAACAAAGGAAAGGAAATAAGAATGCACACCTCATAAGCAAGCGGCTCAGCGAGTGTACGCAGAGTGAAGCGCCACGTAAGCAGCGTGCAGATCAAGGGCGCGTGAGCCGCCTGGCCTGAGCCTCCTTATCTAAGCCCCGCACCTGCTTCCAGACGCATCTGCTACCAAGAGTGACCCCCTGCGGACTCTCATCTCCCTGGCTTAGTCTCTCCTGGTTCTGAATGTAATAGAAACGAAGCAGAGAGTGTGTGTGCTGCTATGGCAGGCTCCGCTCACTCCGGGTAAGGCCTGTGAATTTCATCCATCACGTTGCCTGAGGTGGTACTTCTGGCTCCCGTGGTTTTCCATTGTGTGAACAGCACTGATGACTGGCATTTGGGCAGTGTCCTTGGGCTGTGAGGAACAGCACTGATGTGAGCCTCCTTGGAGTCTTGATCTATTGCCAGGCTGGAGTGCAGCGGTTCGATCTCAGCTCACTGCCACCTCCACCTCCCGGGTTCAAGCGATTCTCGAGCCTCAGCCTCCGGAGTAGCTGGAAATACGCCACCACACCCAGCTAGGGTTTGTATTTTTAGTAGAGACGGGCATTTCACCACGTTGGTAATGATGGTCTCGATCTCTTGACCTTATGATCCGCCCGCCTTGGCCTCCCAAAGTGCTGGGATTATAGGTGCACACCACCACACCCAGCATCCTTTTTCTTTTTCTTTTTTAAAGACGAGGTTTCACCATGTTGGTCAGGCTGGTCTTGAACTCCTGACCTCAGGTGATCCGCCCGTCTTGGCTTCCAAAGCGCTGGGATTACAGGCGCTCGCCACCACACCCAGCATCTTTGTTCTTTTTTTACCCCTTAGAGTTGATCCCAAAGAATGTACTCGTTTTGGGGGAGGGCGTGTGTGCTCAGGAGGGGAATTGCTGGGTCAAGAGTTGTGCA